CTTTTCTATAAATATATTCTTTTAAGTATAAAGAATAACATTATAGAAAATTTTTCTGAATATTAATTATATTATTTTTAATTATTTTATTTTGAAGATTTTTGAAGATTTTTTGATGTGATTAGATGTCATACACTATAGCTATTCTACAAAATTTTTTCCACCACTTGTAATAACAACCAATCGAATTTCAGAATCAGGTGTAACGTGATTGTCAAAACAAACATGTTTTCTAAGTAAAAAGTTACGTGCAAAAATAAAGTTAAGAAAATCACATTAAAGTTAGAGTTAGAATTATGATAATGTAATGCTTATATGTAAAATTTTATAAAGAATATTTTTCATTAACCTACAGAAGGTGGTTTCCTAATTAAAATTTAGAGTTATTCTTGTTTTTTTTGCTTCATCTCGATTTTTACATTACATCTGATCCTGAAATTCAATTGATCATTATTACAAGAGGTGGAAAAAATTTTGTGAGTCAGCTAGAGGCTTTGCTTTAGATGTTTCTCAATTCTGATAATTTTTGTACCTATGTTGTACATACATGATAGGTGTTCAGAAACGCAAAAGTTTAAATCTGCAGTTATATTTTTGATAGGCACAAATCATACCTTAAATTTAGGTAATGCTCTTGATGCATTATATATATAAAATTTAAATTTTTTAAAAAATTTAAGTAAAGATATCTAAATAGTTGTCCAACTTAATTCAATAAATTTTTTTTTATTTTGATTTGATTATTCTGTAAAATTAAAATAAAAAAAAAATCAAATTGGCTAGAAGGTTGCTAAAATAATTTTGCTTAAAGTTTTATAAAAATTTTGCTATAATTATATAGATGTTTTAATATTTTTAAAACTTTAAATAATGATATTTTAACAACTATCTAGTCAAATTTAATGAAATTTTTTTTTATTTTAATTTTACAAAACTATAAAATTAAAAAAAAAACTTCATCAAATTTGATTAAATAGGTACTAAGATATCTTTATTTAATTTTTGTTGCAAATATGATGCTAAAAACAGATAATACTGAAAATCACATGATTACATAATGATCTTTTGTATAAACATCTAGCATTACTATCACTGTTGGTGTTAGAGTTAGTGTTTAGAGTAGAGAAGGTTTTTTTTTATTTTATATATATTACATTTAATTTTACTAGAATAATTAAAATATAATCATACTTAAACTCTAATCCTAAGATTAATAATGAAATTTTTTGGTTAGTGATATTAGGGTTCTATAAGCACTTTAGGTTTGTTTATTCAGAAGATCTTCATGTGATCACGTGATTTTCAGCATTATCAGTTTTCAGCATCATCTGCGACAATTTTTATACAAATTTTGTTATGATTATTTTGTTCAATTATTATAAATCATATCAGTGGTTTTAAACACCACTATATTTATATTATATATAAGGTTATATTAAATGCAATATTATTTGTTTCAATCTTGTATCACATTATGTTGTTATACAAATCTATCTATATTTATGTAGCACATGACGTATTTGTTTTCTTACATATTTATTAAAAAACAACATAGCTTTTTTATATATTTAATATTGAAATAATTTTATATTATTTTTGCATACAATAGATTACAATACTAATAATTTTAATTAGCAACCTTTGTCATTTTTGAGTACTAGTAATTCAAGTGATGCTATATCTTTGAAATTATTGATTATTATAATACTTTAAACTAGCTAAAAACACATTAATACTTACAAAAAACTAAATTAAGTAATCTAGTTAAACTAATGTCCTTTAATGATTTTAGTGTTTTATCAGATGTTAATGAAAATGTTGAGTATAAAAAGATCATAGATTCAATACTAGTAGTATTAGAGAAATCAATGAATATAAAGAAGTCTATAAATTTAATATTGGTAATAATAGAGAAAATAAAGAGCATGAAGATTATGAATTTAATAACGATAATGTTAGAGAGAATAAGGAGTTTGAAGGTTATAAATTTAATAATAGCAGAATTAGAGAAAATGAAGAGTATGAAGATATTGAGAGTAGCAGTGAAGATAATAAGGAGTGTAAAGATTATAAATTTAATAATGGCAATGTTAAAAAAAATAAGGAGTTTGAAGGTTATGAATTTAATAATAATAGTATTAGAGAAAATAAGGAGTATGAGGATATTAAGATTAGTAGTGAAAATAATTAGAGCCAAAAATTAAAAAGCTCAAAGCTACTTTACCCAATTGTGAAAAATTTATTTTTACTAGTTAAAAAAAATTTTTTTTTTTTCCCTTTGGCTGTCTTGCAAGTGATCCTTTATTAAGATTATTATATGAGTAAATCATATAATGTTGAGCTTAATATTTAGGCTTAACATTTTGCAGTTACTTCAAAGAGCACTTACAAGTGACCAGTTGCACCAGGCTGAACTTCCATTAAAGGACCTTGATAATCTTAGCCAATGCCTGGGTTAATCTCGGGAACTTATGTCAGACCACCGTCCTACAATAGGATACCACCAATCTGATGACATCTTTTCGTAGTAAAGTGAAAAAAACAAAAAAAAATCTACTAATACTAATACTAATCCTAAATAGGAGAAGAAAAAAGAAATGAAAACTAATACTAAAAAACAA